GGTAAAGGTCGTATTCCCAGTCAGTCAAATAATAAAATAATAAACCTGTCTTTTAATGCCTGACTCATAGCAACCTGGAAGCCAGAGTGGAACTGCTGCCAACAGTTTCTGACACGGTAAATCTTTAGAGGAGCAGTCAACTCCAGTTTTCTCTCGTGGAACAGCCGGTGGGTTTGAAAAGTGACTTCTTGGTTAGCAGCCCAGTGCTTCACCAACTATGCTGCTAACAACTCTACCCCCTAAAACCCCCAAACTATGGAGTTGATTGTGATGCACAGTGACCTTATAGTATTCATATTAATAGCTAACACTAAAGTTGTATCACGCATTATTTCAAAAACAAAATCCTTGATATGTAAAGGTTAGGGATCCTTAAAGAAATACAAATAAAAGCAAAGAGATAACACTGCATGCCCCCTGGGAAGAGCTAGAACAATGACCAAAACATGTTGGTAAAAGGGTAAAAAACTGGAATTCCTCAGACATTGCAGATAGGAATGTATGAAGGTTGAACCACTGTGGAAAACAGTTTAATAGTTCCACAAAAATACAAACACAGAATTAGCATATCCCCACCAAAAATGAGCCCCAAACACTGCCATCTACATAGTATTTCAGAGGCTGTGTAAATCTTTATCCTCCTCAGAGGTGCTGGTGGATATGAACTGCCAAACTAGGCAGTTCAGTGCTTACCCTAGAATTAGCAATGGCTCCATAACTCTACTTCCAGGAGTGTGTGTGTGTAACGATGTAAAATAGGTCTTTAAATAAAAACAGGTACACAATTACAGAACTAGTTTATGCTAGCCTAAACATAGAAACAACCCAAATGACCATCAGTGGATGAGTGGATAATCAAATCGTGATCTATGCACACAAAGGACGATTATCTGGGCATACAAATGAATGAAGCACCCCTAGGGCCACTGTGTGGGTAAACCTCAAATGCATGAGCTGAAGAAGTAAAATAACACAAATAAACATCACAACATGTCACATACTGTATGAGTCCATTTATGTGAAATATCCGAAAGCAATGAACCCGCATAGACAGAGAGTGGATTGCCGGGAAATGTAGAGAAGGGGAAATGAGGAATAGCTGCTTAGGTTCCAGGGTTGCTTTTTGGGACGATGCAAGTGTTTGGTGGTACCACATTGTGATGTGCTAACTTCCTCTGTGATCTTCACTTTAAAACAGTTCAGTTGATGTTATGTGAATTCCACCTAAAAAAAAAAAAAAAAAA